CAAGGGCGTGTCCTCAAGGGCGTGTCCTCAGGGACGTGTCGGGAATCTCTCCTCGAGGATCAGAGATGAGATGCTCTTGAACAGGAAGCTTAGGTCCACGCCGTCGTGACTGGCGTGATCGTCGTCGGAGGCACCATCGTCGTTGGTGGCATAATCATTGTCGGGGGCGCCATCGTCGTTGCCGTCATCATCGTCGCTGGCGGGATGAGGAGTCAGGGGCGCGGCGCTGGGAATCTTAACGTCACGGTCTCATCATTGTTGGAGGCGGGAGCATCCTCACGGTCTTCAGGCTCGCGGGCGATGTCGACGAAGGCCTTGCGAAGCTTCTTCACCTTGTTCTGGTCCTGCGCGATAGCCTCGGCGGCGTCCTACTGCTTACGAGAGCTTCTCAGGGTCCTTTGTCGTTCCCGGAAGCCCCGTCGTGCATGAGTTGATCAACTCATGAGCAGCAGAGTCTTGCGCTAAGCACAACTCTAACTGGCCACTCGTCGGTCCCGTCGGAATTGAACCTCCGTCGCCTGTTACCCGCATCGCCTGTTACCCGCAACCTCTCCGCTCCCAACCTCCGCAACCGACCTCCACGCCGGACCGGAGCGGTAAACTTAACGTTCCATCGGAGATTTGGCAGATAAGGCACCTCTCCTCCGTCGACCAGACGGTCGCCACCAACGCAGCGCGGAACATAGTTGGGACAGGACCTGGCATCCAACTTGGCGTGCCGAATCTCATCACAGGTGAGGCTGCTGGGCACAGCTTGGATCTCAGACTCGTTGTAGATGCGAACGATGGGTAGACCTGCTTTGAACTCGCAAAGAAGCAAGGTTGCGCAGCCGAGCCATTGCACCTCACATGTCCGACATGCCAGACACAATCGAGAGGGTGTACCAGTAGAAGGAGTCCGCATTCCAGGAGGAGGGCGTGGTATATTTACAGCATTGCTCTAGCATCTAGCCGCATCGGCTGAAAGTTTTGGGGTCAAGACCAGAGAATCGAGATCTAGAGAACAGGAGGGGGAGTGTTCCACCCGGGGGCGTTGAGGATGATGGCGAGGAGGCATCCAGAGATGAGACCGGCGATGGGGAGGGTAAGGACCCAGGAGAAGAAGATCCAGCCGAGCATCCTCCAGTTCATGGCCTTGTAGTCGCCGTTGCACAGGCCGACTGCGAGCGTGGCGCCGGTGATCGACTGAGTCGACGAGACGGGCAGACCGAGGTAGGATGCGAGGACGACGGTGATGGAAGCGCCGAGCTCCATGGAGAATCCACGGCTTGGCGAGTGCATGGTGAGCCTGTTGCCAAGCACGCTCATCAGCTTCCAGCCGTACGTGCCGAGACCGATGACAATAGCGACACCACCGAATGCCAGGATCCAGATAGGAACAGGCTCCTTGGAGCCGGGGAATTCGGAGGTCGACCAAACGGACCATACGACGGCAAGGGGGCCGATCGCGTTGGAAACATCGTTGGCGCCGTGGGCAAATGAGGCGGTGCACGCGGTCATGACCTGCATGAACGAGTAGAGGTGCTCGACGCGGTTGTCGTACTGTTCCGCAACGGCGTGCATCTGACGCAGCTTGGCCTTCTCCTTCTCGGAACCGTGAGCCTGCATGGCGTGGATATCGGTGCGCAGACCGGCGGACAGACTGTACCAGATCCACGGAATCGCGTTGTAGCGCACGATTGTGTACAGGTTCCAAGGCTCGAGCCAGCTGCCGTCAAACTTGCGGTAGTTGGGAGGGGTAGGACGGCCCGGAATGTGGTTCTCGTCGATCTTGACCGGACGGCCATCCTCAAGCTCGGTCTCGAGGTGCGCAAGGCGCGAAGGGTGCACCTGCTCCGATGCGGGCTGGTTGAGCTTGGCATCCTTTTCGTCGCTGTTGCTGTTTGCGCTGTTGGAAGCAGTGTCGATCTCGTCTCCAGTGCGTGCTGCCGGAGCGGAAGCAGGTGCAGCAGCCGCACGGTGCTGCTCAGCCACGGCAGGGTCGGCAAAGTCGTGAATGCGGTAGTCCGGAACAGCCGAGTCGGCAGTAACGGCGTCGGCAGGAGCGGGACGCCACCAGAGCAGGGGGCCCATGAAGAAGTGGTACCACTTGAGCGTGTAGTCGCCGCGCACCACCTTGGCGTACACGTAGGGCAGCCAGAAGAGGATCGAAAGCAGAGCCACCACGGAGGCGGTGCCGAGCACAGCAGCCACGGTGGTCGAAGGCGGAAGCTCGTCGAGGTTGAGCGAGGGCGAGCCCTTGACGATGATCGAGACGGTGAGCACGCCCGAGACGATGAAAAAGTACACAGGAGCAGTGTAGAGTCCCATCATGACCGGGTTCTTGGCCTTGAGTACGACGTACTTGGTGACGAGGTACACGATGGCGGCGAAACCACCGGCGACAGCGGGAGCGATACCCCACGAGGCAAAGATCTGCGAAACACCGTTCCAGCCCCACTTGACACCGCGCGCGCCATTGACAGCGATTCCGACGCCGATGACCGAGCCGACGGTGGTGTGGGTGGTGGAGACGGGCATGGCGTTGCGCGTGGCAAAGGTGAGCCAGGTGGCGGAACCGATGATGGAGCACGTAAAGGCGAGGAGGAGGACCGAGGCGTTGCCGTTGAAGACGCCGAGGTCGATGATGCCGTTCTTGATGGTGGAAGCTACGCGCGCACCCACGAGCACGGCGCCAAGGAACTCGCAGATGGCAGCGGCGAACATGGCCTGTCGGAAGGTAAGCGACTTGGACGAGACCGAGGTGGCAAATGAGTTGGCCACATCGTTGGCGCCGATACCGTACGCGTTGACGAACGCGCCGATCATCGAGAAGGCAAAGAGGTAGTCGTAGTCGTGGTACTTGGGCATCTTGTCCAAGCTTCTCTTTCCGCGTGGGAAAGGATGGAAAGGGGTGGAGAGTGAGAAGGAGGTGGTCTGGTGGACTAGACTTGGAGAGACGACGGCTGCACAGAATGAGGATGCTGGCTGGACCTTCTTATACATTTGGCTATCTTTCTGCTGTTCCAAGGCTCAACGGCGACGATTCTTGCAGCAGAAATCTGACGGACGATTGCCGCAGAGAGCGCGCACCAAGTTGCCACCGGAAGAGCGTACTCCATTGCGCAACGAATCGACGGACCAAGCGGAGACAAGCAGCGGTGGACGTGGACGAGCCAAGCCATGTCAAAAGCTCGAGCCGAGTCGGGACGAGGGAACGTGGACAGGCAGCATGAAACCGAGGACCCGCAAAGCGGCGGTAACGGATGCGGCCCTATGGCTAGGCGGAGGGCATGGAAGTAAGGCACCTTCCATTTCGAGACGGATGCTCGATTCAGAGGATGCGCACGTGCGAAGCAGGAACCGACGAGCTCTCGTGGACCGAGGAGGGATTGGTCTCTTAGGAGAGGGCGATGAGGGAGCAGCGCAAGATCAAGGGGACGCCGATGATCTGGGATGGCCTGCCAAGCAGTGCCCTTGGCGGAGAAGAGGGAGCCAAGGGCTGCATGCTGGACCGCGCAAGGGCGTTGTTGGCCAAGGCGAGAGCGGCGGAGGTGCACGACAGTTTGCCAAGCATCCTCGAGTCTTGCAGCTTCAGAGCGTAACGAGGGCTGTCACTGAGGCAGGAGTGGGGGTGCAGCTGAGCCTCGCCACGGGCGCTAAGGCAGGTACGGGAGCGAGCCAGGCCTCGTGTGGATAAGCGAGGCCAACGGAGCGATGGGCAGGCTCGGTCGCGTGGGTGGAGCGCATGCAGTCCGCATGTGCCAAGAAGCGCACGCAGTCAAGAGCGAAACCGTCTGTGTGCAACGGATGAGCTGCAAGTCCACCAGGTCGAAACGGAGAATAATGCGCAGTGCCGCCGTGATAGCCAGGGAACCCTCTGAGGGAGAGAGTGGTGAAGAGCCCTGAGGGATGCGTCGCCAAGGGGCGTCGGTGCCAAGACGTCGGGTATGGGTCTTGGCGCAGTTCGACGTTCCGCACTGAGCTGCGGGCCAAAAAGTCGCTCAGATACAGAATAAAGCGCCGAAGAGCGGCTGAAATTGCAAAAAAAAAA